TTCACCGTCTGGTGCATGATCCTTGAGAAGCTGCAAGAGGGGAAAAGCAGCGCGGTGAGGGAGAGCAATAGGAAAGGGAGATCCTGGGGCATCTCACAATGCTTCCCCTTTCACCATGGAAAGGGTGGCAGTGCTGGAAACTTTTGGGGGATCTGAAGATGGGGAGCAGCAGGAGTGAGGGGAGCGAGGCCCTTCATCCCACCGTGACCACGGTTACCCGACTCTCTCATATCACAGGAAAGGGAAGAGAAGGTGCCTGCATGGTCCCCTCCTTGCCACCCACCCAGGCGTGGCTCAGACAGCCGCTTCGCCCTCTTCTCCTCCTGCTCCTGGAGACTCTTCCCCTCGCCCACCACCGCTTGGTGACGGCCCACCTGCCCTGCGGGATGTGCCACAAAGCCATGCGCTGCCACGGCATTTTTTCCATGAACTTGGAGATGGTTCCCTTTGCTGCGCTGCAAAGCGCTCAGCAAGTTCCACCACCTTCCAAAGCCTTCAGGAGGCCTTTTGGTTCCCTTCACAGCCTTTTCGGAAGTTTAATTAAGCCCTCCCTTCCCTGGCTCTTTTCCTAGCAAGCAAGAGGGACCAGTTTCTGGCAGGCCGGGAGAAAGGACACGCGGCCCCACGCTACAGACCGTAGGAGACGGCAAACACTCACTGGGGATGTAGCTTGTACAGAGTCCCGTCCACACCAACCGTTATCTCCAGGTGCTCCAGGCCCCTGTTCTCCCTGATTTTATCCACGACGGCGGCCATGCCGGCGCCGCAGAGCTGCGCCGCCCGCCGCGACACAGCCCCGCACACCGTCTTCACGATGATGCTGTCGTCGCACGTGCTGTTGAGCCCCAGCTGCTGCAGGATGGTGCGCACCTGCAGCAGGGCTAACCGGTCGCTGCGGGGCGACAGCAGGCCATTAGAGCTGCCCTCCCACCACCGGCTCTTTCCAAGGGTTTTCCAGGAAAATACTCCTGGCATCAACTTGCTTTCTGCTCCCCCCCGCCGAGTCCCAGCAACAAAGACACCAATAATGTGGTGCGTCCTGCCCAGCAGCGATGTCCCCAAGGCTGGTACGCGCACGGGCGGTAGCCCAGGCTGTGCCCTCACCTCTCGATCTGCGAGAGAAACTTGGTTTCGAAGATGTGCCTGGTCTTGAGGGTCTCCGAGATCTGCCCTCGGAAGAGGAAGCCCCGCTTGGTGAAGTCGATGAGGATGTTGCGGACAATCTCGCCCAGGTACATGCCGCTGATCATCTTCTCGTACCTGCAGGAGGAGACAAGCGGGAGTGCTCAGCACCTTCCCGGGATTTCGGAGAGCAGCATGAGGCACTGGCAAGCAAGTCGTGGAGACAATGACATTTTATGCTTTGTTACGGAGGAGCTAATTCCTGCAAGTGGGCACTTCTCCGCTTATTGCGGGGCACATTGGGTGCTGCATGACCCTGGCAGCCAGGTCATGGCCTCCTGAAGCGCCAGGCGGGCATTTCGTCCCAGCTGCAGCTGGGCCCAGCATGCCAGGCCACGCTGGACACGGGCCACGCGGTCCATTTGAGGCTACGAGTTGTCTCCGGCCTCTGCCTGTGAGCATCCTCCCTCGTAAGCGCCCAGCTCTTCCCGGAATACATCACCCTGAGCCGTCCCCACCGCCGCCTGGGCGGCTTTTTCCAGGCTGACTAAGCGGCTCTCGTGGTTTCCACCTCTCTGGGTCTGTCTGCACCCTGCGAATCACTCAGGAGGTTTTTGCAAGGACATGGAGTCACTGCTGCAGAACAGCCTGGCAACCCTAACAGCATCGACCGCCACTAGCGAGACGGCGGCAGAGAGAAGGTCGCAGCCCCTGGCTCTTTTGGATGAGAGGGAAAAAGCAGCTACTGGGAGAAGGGCAGACAAGGGAGGTCCCCCAGGACAGCAGAGTCATTTGCCACTCTCGCGCTCCATCTCCTCTAAATGGGGAGAAATCCAATTATCTCTCAAAACAACCTGAGCCCGTCTGGCTTGCTCTGAGCGTGCCTGGGCACCGCGCGGTACCTTTGCTTGCCAGCGTTCAGTGAGAAGTCATCGACCGCCTTGTCGTATATTGTCCTGATGTCGTCCAGGCAGCCGTTGTCCCCGAAGGCTCCCCACTCCATGTTCACGCACATCCTTCCTTGCTCGCCGTCCACCATCTCCACGTTTCTCATCTCCTCCATGTAGCACGCGTTGCTGCCGGTCCCTGCAACAGGCAAACACTGGAATTACTCCCGTTTTTGGAAGCCAAGCAACGCCAGAACAAGTGCAAGAGCCCTGGTGAAACCTCAGCCTGTGCCTCAACCTCAGCTCCTCGCAGGAATTTGCTGGCTTTATACGACAGTGCTGTGTAGAAAGAGTAAAAAGTAGCTCCAGGACGTACCCACAATGAGCCCGATCTCACAGTTGGGGTCTTCGTAGGCGCAAGTCATCATAGTGCCAACCGTATCGTTCACCACGGCCACCACATCCAAGTCGAACTCCTGCGAGGAAGAGAAACAGAACAGTGAGGTCTCTGAAGAGACACAAAAGGAGCACACGGAAGGGGACACCGGCAAAACACACTGGGAACAAGAAGCTGGAAGTACTGCCTCAGATTTTACACAGGCAGAAAGAGGAACCAGGAACCAGGTCTGAAACACGCCTTGTGAGTTTTCACACATTTTGCAAAACTAGAAGCCCTTGAGGAGGAAAAAAATAAAAAAAGCCACAAGCAAAGGAACCAAACCCCCAGCCTGGTTCATTCTGAGTCACAATTTCAGTTTGGTGCATGAAGGTCAAAAACCCAGGGCGAGGGAGCCAAGTGGACCCTCAGGGTCTAGCAATTCTGCAGCGGGGGGAGAAGTAGGAGGGAGAGAAAAATAGAATTAAAAAGAAAAAAATCACCTCTCTTCTTTTGATTCCTTCTCTGAGCAAATACACCACATCTTCTCCTTCGCAGTCTGTAGCTTTAAATCCTTTTGTCCAATTGAGCAGGATGCCCTAAAAAGAAAGAAAATGCTTTTTATTGAATTTCCTTGCGCTCAACAGACTGCTTCAAGTCTCTGGGGGAGAATCACGGAGCGCTTCCGTCCGATCATTTCCCTGCATTCAGCTACCCTGGTCCGTAAGAGCACATAAGCCTAATAACAAGGGCACATAAGAGCACAGCCAAGTGACCAAGAGCTGTATGTGCTGCAGCTCTGGCCACACCATCCCACATGAGAGTGTTTATGGCCTCATGGTGCAAAACACAGCAGGGAGCCAAACGCCTGAATACTGCTCCTGTCACCACTGTGTTCTCCTCCTTCAGACATCAATATTTATCTCATTTTTGCTCACGCTTCAATGTTATTATTTCAAGCGCTTCAGGGTGAAGTTACACAGAGGCCTCTCTGTAAAGGAGGAGGATGTCTGTGTTTTTGGAATTCTGCATTTCAACCCACTAATCACATCTCGCCTCCAAACTTCCAGGACTGAGTCACTCAGCATCCTGCCCAAAGCCAGAAAAAGGGGAGCATCAGACGCCAGCATCCGAGACCGGGAACTATCTTTTTTTCCCCAAAACACTACGGCAGGGCTCACTAAAACACATTCACCAGGAGACAGCGCTGTTGCGCAAAGCATGAAATGCAACGGAGTCCCAAAGCAGCTGTGACAGAAGAGAGATCTTTCTTCCAAAAAAAGAAAAAAAACCATCCCCCTGGGCTGTGGCAGGGGTTCGAGATGCTGCAGGCTGTGCTGGAGACAGGCAGACCTCACAAAATCAGGGAAAACCACCACAGTTCAACGGGTTTATATGACTGGAAAAACAAGGATACTTTAAAAAAAAGAAAAAAGAAAAAAAAAAGTGGAAATTTGAATGCTAGTAGCATTTGCATGACGGCTGCCAAAGGAGTTACTTACAGGGGCATAAAGGAGCAGCTGTAGTGAGGAATCCTGTCCTCGCACAGCCTCCCCGTAAGCACCACGCAGGGCACGGAAAGGTGGAGGATCCGGCCTGGCCTGAGCACAAGAGCAGCTTCACAAGACACTAATTAACTTACAGCATCCAAGCTGGTCTGCTTGCAAGGGAAGGAGAAGGTGAAGCCAAGAGGAAGCCGGGCGCCTTTGATTCCCATATAATCCAGGAAGTCGGAAATGCAGGTAACGATGTGATCGAATAGCTTGAAAGGGAAAAGTTCCGTGTTTGAATCTGTACAGATCGCGCTCGCTTACTCAAGAGTGCACTTAAAAAGCAGCAACGCTGCAAAAGAGGAGCACCCAAACACACCTCCTCTCCAGTTCCCTGCATCACTTCTATGGGAATGGCATATATCTTATTGTGCATTTCTACCGTTCTCCTTTTACCGCTGCGGATTTTCACCAGCAAAACTCTGAAGTTTGTTCCTCCAAGGTCAAGCGCCAGAAAGTCTCCATTTTCTGGAAAAGAAGAGGGGGGAAAGAATAAGATAAAGGGAATCTAGAAGAGGTCCACTTCTTCCCAGAGGTGGCAGGTGTCTATCGCAGGAAGATTTTAGGTGCTGCTCTGATTATTCCAGACCTTTTTCTTTTCCCTCCCTTTTTTTATTTTTAATTAATGAAGGCAGAAGGGCCCATATGGCAGCTCCTTCAGAAAACGTATGGAGGTGGTGAGCCCCCCCCAGCAAGCCAAGAGCCGCCCGTGCTCTCACCCGTGCCATCCGGCGTGCTGCGCACGAAGGTGGGCAGCATTTTCACTTTGGCCGTCTCATGGCTCTTCTTCTTGAGCCCCGCTTCCATCTCCGTCCTCATCCTCTTCTTGACCTGCAGCAGCTGCTCGTGCGTGAGCTTGAACTCGGCGAGGGTCTCGTCGATGAGGCGGTGCTGCTCCGCCAGCCGGTACGCCACGGCCGCCACCATGGCGGGCCCCCTGCCGCCG